GGCGGGGGGGGGGGGGGGCGGGGAACAAACACAAAACCACCCTTAAAAACATTTTACAGTGTATCTAATTAAAAATGGGAAGTTCTGTTTGTCCTGATATCCTGAAAGTCAATTTATCATTTTCATACAAAAAACACAAAGTAGATCAGTTGTCCAATAGATGCCCACCTGTGTTATTCATATCAGAATATAGAACCAGGTGCACAGTTCACCAACCATATTTGCAAGATTGATAAACAGCAAAGCACAGGCAGAAAATAATGGCAAGATAGCTGTAAGTACAGAGCATCATCAAAAAAGTTTTTGTACAAAAATTTCTTAAAATTTGTTTTCTAGCATGATTATAAACAGACTTTGATGGTTTTATTTTTGCATAGCGTGTCAGAAACTTGAGAAAAAAGGCTACCCCACCCAGCTGAAACCACAGCAGGAACTGATCAAACGCAAGTGTGGATGATGTGTGGGTTCAGCTCTTGGTTGCAGACAGAAGCTGAACTTTATTGTAGATGTAAATATGTTTGTGGCTCAATACTTGCCACTCACAAAAAATGGCTTTTATTGTAAACTTAACTTCTTGGTTTTATATTGTACATCAGATGCAGATGGTACAAACAAGGGAGGCAAAAATATAGCTGCATAAGTGAGAGGAACTGGAAAAGAATCTTCAGCACGGGATGCTCAATAGAGCCTTTTTTGAGCATGTATGTGTGAGGCAGGCACCATTTTCAAGGTGATACACAAAAACTAAAAGATACTAGCAGTACTAGAGACCAAACCTCTAGACTATAATTGAATCAAATGCACCTCTAAGCCCAGGAGTACACAGCCTTTAAATACAGCCTATAATTTCAGCAGCTCAGCACAAATTTTCTCACCCTACCCTTGCAACTGTGTTCTCTGTGGCTCCAAGAAATTATCCTACATAACTGCAAATGACATTTTCTACTACCACTGTGAAGCTAATGGTGTCATTTTTAATAAGGAAGCAAACTTTTAGTGTTTTATTATCTGTTATACGAGCTGTTAAAAAAGGTTATAGCATAACTGTAACTTATGGCACATCCCTTTTAAGTGAACACTTTTCTGAGTTTTGCTGGAGTCTGCATGTACGAGGTCTCTCTGTTCACCTGTACGACTGATTAGTGTGCAAATTAAAGCAGCTCAAGAGCAATATTCCTAAAAAGATAGGTGTATTCCAAGGACGAAGCTGGAGATGAGGAAACTCCCAGTCCACAGCTGAACTAGCTGCCATGTACCATTTTACAAAAAAGGGGGCATAACTCTGCTGTGCTGGTCCCTTTCTTTAGGCAAGGCTGGCAAGCCATTTATCAGCTGCTCTATTTTTTCAGCACATGCAGGATTGCGAACAGGTCCCCAGCACTACCTTCTTTGGTTCCTGTAAGAGGGGCATTTTCCTGTAGCTGCATATAGAACTCCGAGCCCCCACAGTGCGCTGCAGCTGGAGTGGTGGTGAAAATGTCTCTTAACCATCAGGTGCAAGTTTCACCCATAGCACCCGTTAAATAAGCCCGTCAATTTCCCAAACCAATGATAAGCTATTTTCCATTTAGAAAATTAAATCTATGACACAGTTTGTAGTAAGGAAAGCACGCATTCACTGTCTTTTACAGATCAGCTTCTTCCTCGGAGGCATGGCCAATCGCTGTGCAGGCTTCAGGAAAGCTGATGAAGCTGTTTGGCAGAAGTAAGTGACACCACTGTCAACAGCATGAATCTGTGCAGCTCCACAGGAATCAGAGCACTCCGTCAGTGTGCACCAGCCACAAGTCTGCCACGTCTCATTAGTGAATGTATTTCCCAGTCGTAGCAGTTCTACTGAACTTTGTTCCTTTGAGACATTCAGCTTGACACAGCTACTCTCAAAATGACATAAATCTATGATGGCTCTGTCTGGACTGGGGGTACCTTTATGTTTCAGAGTTCTGGCTCATTCAGACATTTCCCAAGCTCTGCTCTTACCCACACAGAAAACATTTTGCTCTGAGTTAGCAGAACAACTGGGGCATGGGCTTAAGTTCAGGTTTTGCTTCTGCTGGTAACTTGCATGCAACACAGCTCTCGGCATAAAGGCAAGCTAAGCAAGCCTCCAGGCCCCTCCACAGCTCCAGCTGGAAGACACTTTCTGTTTCTCTCCTTCCTCTCCTGATATGGCACCACCTGCCAAGTTCAGTGTTTAAATACCAAACGTTCACTGTTTCTGCCAAGCACAGAAGGCTGAGGAATCAGGCAGGTCAAATTTTGTGGTTTACAGGATGGATTTCTGGATTACATTCTCATTAAAAAACTCTTGCTGTCAGAACTGCCTATGTTAAGAATAAGGAAGACTATTTAAATTTATTTACATATAGCATCACTCTTGTGTCACTGCCAAAGGCTGCAGCTCTGAGCCAGGTGACGGACTGAAATCCTGTGCAGCCCTGAGCGAACACACAGACACTTTGGTGCAGTTTCACCAACCATGCCCATGCAGAACCTCCACAGAGTCTCATGGAGTCAGGCAAGCAGGCACGAAAGCTCACTGCTAGCTAGTTAATCTGCAGAGAAGTTACACCCTAGGAAGACACGTGTTGGGTTACCAGAGGAAAGATTACCTTAGATAGCTATCCCAGCCAACCCTCAGGGCATCCACTCCTTTGGGCAGTGAGAAAGTGCTCCTGCCAATAAAGAGCTTGCTACATCTGTTCCTCAAATCCAAATACATTACATCATCAAGAGCACATTTCTGCTGGTATCATAGAATGGTTTGGGTTGGAAGGGACCTCAAAGACCATCTAGTTCCAACCCCCCTGCCATGGGCAGGGACACCCTCCACTAGACCAGGTTGCCCAAAGCCCCATCCAACCTGGCCTTGAACACTTCCAGGGAGGGGGCATCCACAGCTTCTCTGGGCAACCTGTTCTAGTATTTCACCACCCTCACAGTGAAGAATTTCTTCTTAACATCTAGTCTAAATCTACTCTCTTTCAGCTTAAATCCATTATCCCTATCACTACATGCCCTTGTAAACAGTACCTCTTCATTTTTCCTGTAGGCCCCCTTTAAGTACTGGAAGGCTGCAATTAGATCTCCCCGGAGCCTTTTCTTCTCCAGGCTGAACAACCCCAACTCTCTCAGCCTGTCCTCATAGGAGAGATGCTCCAGCCCTCTGATCAGCTTTGTGGCCCTCCTCTGGACTCGCTCCAACAGCTCCATGTCTCTCCTGTACTGGGGCCCCCAGAGCTGGACGCAGTACTCCAGGTGGGGTCTCACAAGAGCGGAGTAGAGGGGAAGAATCATCTTCCTCAACCTCCTGGCCACGCTGTTTTTGATGCAGCCCAGGATATGGTTGGCTTTCTGGGCTGCAAGCACACACTGCCGGCTCATTTTGAGCTTCTCATCAATCAACACCCCCAAGTCCTTCTCCTCAGGGCTGCTCTCAGACAGACTTTAGATTAGTCAGTACCAGTGGCAGCTTCTAGGCAAAGACTGTGGTTTGTAGAAGGAGGGGGAAGACAGCAATAAGCCCCTCACTGGCACTGCCAAGAATGGTATGTACGTTTCAGATCTGCATGGTGCAACAGCATTTGTATGGCTCCTCTCTTCCAGGCTCTCCTTCCTGATGTGGCTGCCTGTGCCTCTGAACTGATTTGAGAAACCACATCCCTAGGTGCCACCCCTATGCCAGCAACAATTTCTCATGTAAATGTGACCTGAATGATGCAAGCTCTATGGGCAGAAAGGGCTTCTCAATGATACACCAACTGCATTGTACTACTCTGACTTTTCATCAACTTTGTTATGCCAGATACGTTCTTGAGGTATCTACTGAAATAGAACAGTTAAGTGTAGACTGGAACTAAGATGTCTAAGAGAAAAAGAAAAGAGAAAGATACACATACTTTAGTGGACAGAATGAGAAGTTTCAAGAGGTATCATCAGAATTATAAACACATGCACATATATGTATGGACACACCACAATTACAGCTACTCTTGCCAGAAAGAACCAAAACGAGCACTTTCATGAAAGTTATACTTTGTCTTAACTGGACTTGTTGAAAATGCTCTACATTAAATAAAGCTGTAGAGGTTTCACCCACTTGGAGGAAAGGCACTGGTATTGCAGCAGACTGGGAGACAGCCAGAAGATCCAGTTTAAGTGTATTTTTCCTCTACTGTTTTCAGTATTCCTAGGAGATAACTTTTCCCCCATTGACTGGGAAAGACAGGGTGGAGCAGCTATAAAACCACAGGCTAAAAAAAAGATTTTTTTTTAAAAAAATCCCATTTTTAACTGTCCTTTTCCAAAACTCTTCTGGGGTGAGTCACAATAGAGTAAAGCCTCCTGCTCAGAAGTGCCCACCTTGAAGCTTTTCCTACAGAGTACCTGAGCTGAAGCAATATACTGCTCCCTCAGCAGATGGCTAGCTTGATCCTGGGTACTTCTTTCCCCTGCACCATGCTTTGAAACAGTTTTCAAAGACGACAGCTGGCACAACATGGAGCAGGATGCTGTGCCAACTATCTACTGTATAGTATTTCAGCTTATCACCCGTTCCTTTGAAATACCAACCTCAAAATAAAACACTTCATCAAAATGCGGATTGTTGGTCTTCTTTTTAACTTTAGTCTTTTTGGCTTCCGATCTGAATTAAGGAAAGAAAAAGGAAAAAAAAAAGTAAGAAACAACATTAGCAGAAGTGTGATTCTAGAACAGAGCCACTGAGAACAAATAATCATCTACTTGATTTATCTAATAAAACTGGAACGCCATGTGGCTCCAGCACACCAAGGCATACAGTCCCACACATTTAGGAGAGGGATTCACTGCATGCCTATTTCTCTAAAGTTCCAGTAATCACAGTGTGCTATCCTCTCTTAAACAGAAGTCCTTGAACCCTGATTCTGTCACTTGCTTGGTCCAGCAGAATCTTGTATCTGTACAAAGCAACTGGCAAGAAAGGGGCTCTGAGCAGCAACACTTGGGGGACAATCTGTCTTGATGTGACTCAAAAATTCCTCATACCCTAAAAGCACAGGACACAGGAAGACTGACATAGCTATTTCTGTGTTTTATATTTTATAATCCTGGCCTGAGGAATCAATGAATGCTTTTCAGTGGTGTTAAATAATAAAAAACCAGAAATATTTCCTCAGTAAGAAATATTTTTATTGCTATATTACCACCCTTTTCCCTGCAGCCCCAACAGCACCTAGTTAATGTTAAATTGTTGAATTATTATGAGCAGTGCTGAGCAGAAGTCTTAATTTCTACTGCTCTGTAGGAACAAGACATGGCAGACCTCCTTCAGACCACTCACCTGGCAACAGGCCTGACAAAGTTCAGCACAGCCCATTCATCCTCTACGGGCAGCGCCATCCGCCTGCCTTTTAGAATACAGACATTGAACTGCTCAGCACTGGGCTACAGCCAAACAATGCAATTCACACAGGCCAGCCAACAGCTGTTAGATGATTTCCAAATGTTATGAACCTATGCTTGGTTTGCTCTTGTTACCTACAAGTGAAAAGCTCTGTGTTGTTCTGTGTTACCAGTCTTCCCCTACAGCTCTGCAGTAATAAGAAGACATAAGACACACACAGACGGAGGGGTGTATCAGCTGTGTGGAAAACTGACCTACTAATCATTCATCCCAGAATCTATCCCTCATTTCTGATGCAGCAAAGCTGCTTAGATAGCTTGTAACAGCTTATATTAACTGGGCAACTCCATGTATTCTTTTACAGAGGTCAAGTAAAGCTGGGTCTAATTCCCAGTGCTGCTACAGACTTCCTGTGTGACGTGAGTGGGCCAGCCCACCAGTGTACAATGTTCTCCCATATACAATACAGGCATAGAAACAGTTCTGGTCAGAAAGTCTGATGGCTCTCTAAGTACAGCAGCACATTTGTTTAAATTTTTATGCCTGGCACTGCATAAATGCAGCAGAATAAAGCTGCTTTCCTACTCTAAAAGGAGAGGCATTGAAAAATCCAGAGGAGAATGATGTACAGATTAAGAATATCCCACTATTCCTAGGAGGAGCTGAGAGATAAGAGAGTCTAATCGCCTCCAGGACGTAGGGCAGATTGCCTATCCCATCTCATCAGTCACACTTGCCAATCAGCCTCTTTACCGATAAGCCCATCTGGGAGGGGACTGGGAAGCAGGATGTAGAACGGGAGGCGATTAAAGCAAGCACAATTATTGGGCAATTACAAAGCAGTTCATGGGAATAAGCTGCGTGCTGCTTGCTGGAGATAGGAGGCAAGCCTCCCCCCTGCCAAAAACCAGATAGCAATAGGATGAGGCTATGCTCCTTATTATGGAAGGAAATACGTTATCAGTTGTCATACATGATCCGGACTGGGGGGCAGAGGGAAGCAGACAAAGAAAGGTAAGTTTGGACATTCAAGGATACAAGGGTTAGTCAAAAAATCTCCTTGCAGTTTCAGTAATAGCTATCCAGTACCATCTGAAAAAAGTTCCAGGCTTAAACCATCAAAGTGTACAACTCAAATACACAGCTTGTTAATGGAGATAAGGTATTACACACCTAAACAAAGATGAAGAATACAGACCAGTCTCAAAGACTCCGCTGCGTGCAAGGTAAGTGTTTGTCAAGAATGCATCTTACTTGTAGTGTTTTCAGTAAATTGTTGTGAAACATTATGAATAACCCATGCTACCAAATCTGCTTCTTTGAGGTCACAGCAGAACTGGTTTGTTTCTATCATGGCACAGACATAAAACATGACTCTAGATAAGCAGAAAACAAAACAGTGACATCCAACAGCACGGGAAATTTTTGTAACAGAACAGAAAATTTTAATCCCAAATTTAAGCTAAGAGTATTATGCAGAATCTCATTACTAAAACCTCATTCCAAATTTTATCCATGCTATTATGTCCACATATATCAACTTGTAGGACTGAGCCACCTAGGGCTTTCAAAATACACATTAATTTGCCACACCTTCAAAGTGAAAATATTCTAAATATTCCCATACAAATGTGCATACATTGCAAGATGTTGATATATTCAGCTTTCTCTTCTGCCCCTGCCCAAAATTAGGCAATAAATTTGCTCAAAAACTGGCCTCCCACTGTGAGGTGAGAAGATGCACAAATTAAGCCTAACCACAAATTACATACTCCAGGATATTCAAATTATTCGGGGATTATTCAGACCTTTACATAAATTAAAACTGCAACAGGCCCCAAATTACTTACTCTAGTATAACTCAGTGGTTCATACGTGTGCACACACAAACACATAACATATTCTAGTGGTGTCTAAATGCTCCCATCTGTCCATCTGAGAATGCAGATTTCCAAAAGACAAAGGAAACAGAAAACATCCTTGTAAAATGGAAGCTTTTGCATGTGCCATACTTGCCTGGAGGGTCCTGCTAAAGTAACAGTGGCGTAGGGATCACATTGCCCGTTCACAATGGGCAGCCCTTGGCATTCTAAAACTCTAGAAAAGAAGAAAACACAAACAAACAAATCGGAAGAGACTGCAGTGAAAAGAAAAGAAATGTATTTTCATCCTGTTCCCTTTTCACAATAGTTTACACTAGGGAATTGAAATGTCACCAAGCACAAGCCTTTAATTTATACCTAAACTTGAAAACACATTTTGGTCTTAAATACTAACTTTAACGGGGTCAAAAATACTGTTAAATTACAGAGAAACCTTAATTCAAAGGATTCTTATTATGCAACAACTTAAGGTTCATGAAATAAGAGTCTGCTGTCAAGATGGGAGCTGTCAGCACTTTAAAATTCTGTGACAACTTATTCACCAAAAAAAAACCCCAACAGAATTCACTTCTGTAACAAAAGATTAAAAAAAAAACAAAACCAAACCCACACAGACAGATCCCAGCAGTAGTCAAGTAATTTCTTAGAATCACATTCATGAAGGCCTCAGTGCTTTTGACAAAATTTGGCATGGGCTTATTTGTAAAGGTAACTACAGACCAGGAGATAGTATGATACAGATATCTTTCTCCATAAAACTTTTAAATAGCAAAACTGAAGAAACACATTCAGCAGCTCTGCACTGAAGAAGTCAAAGAGACACTGGAAAGACAAATGGAACAAATTGGGTTTTGCTGCAAGCCATGGCAAGAAATCTGCACTTTCGCACTCTCATTTCAACATCTCTTTGGAAAAAAGAAAAAAACGCAACACAAACCCAAAAAACAGTGAAAAAATGTTTCACATTTCACAAGTTAAAACTTACTGAGGAATGCAGCACCAATTGGAAACAAAGGCAGACAAGCCAGTTGCCAGGACCCTCCCTCATGAAACAAGTTCTGCTTCCAACAGGTAAGCCTGTTGAGTTGATGTATTTACACAATTATAACTGGAAAATTTTGGTGAACACAAACTCTGAAGCTCTTTGGACAGGTGAGTAGTACTATACTTGCAATGTGAAATATCGTGCACACTTCTGGGTGCTATAAAATCAGCAAGAAAAGTAATATCCATTTCACTGCTTTCAGTGACAGCAACTCTGATTAAAAAAAATTTAAAAAAATCAATAGAGAAAAATTCAGTAACAGACAGTGCTCTACAATTTTATCCACAAAGCAAATTATGTGGTAACATACAATGTGGACTTCAAATACAGTTTAACTACAGACCTAGTACTTACTCTGCATAAAGGGAGGAAAAAATTCAGTATTCTCCACCAATACAGGGATTGTTTTTTACCAGAGGATGTACAAACTAGATAGGTTCACACAGTCTTAGGAAGCACACGAAGACTGAAGATCACACTAAGGGGGCGCACACAGGCAGCTGAAGTGATACATTATATTCATAGCTGGATTCTCACACTTGTGATCCCGCAGAATAAAGGCTAAGTAATTGGCTTAATACAGACAGTCCCCAGTAATGCACTCACTCACAAGCTTGTCATTTGCATAGCCCCTATGCATGGAAAAGCATTCAGTTATTAACCTAGATGACTCCTCATTGCTGATTCACTAGCACTACTGCAAAAGAGAACTATGTTCCGTATTCTGGACACTCAAGGGAAATCATAGATCAAAACCATAGAGAAAGTTACGAAAAACTTGAATGGCATAGGCACTGTGCTGCTTTATTTCTGGACTTCTGTTATTTCAATACAAGTTTACCTTCCACACAGACCGAATTTAGAAGCCTCCGAGATGCCCAGTTTAGCAGAGATCTGATAATGCAGAGTGCTACCACGCAAACAGCAAAATTCAAGACACAAATTCTATGCCAGCAACCAGCTGGAAGGTGCAAGGTCCAGTAACCCTCAACATCAAGCAACGCAAAATATATGCTATTTGGTCGTCTAAATGCATGCATGTAGTGCCATTTGAGATGACTTAACAGTTTCTTCCCCAGGCCCTTGCTGCTGCTCCAGAAAAGCAGGAGGTACCCACAGAACAGCATATTTGACAGCTCCACACCTCTCAGAGACTTCATAAATAGACTAGATGCCTGTTTTCAAGCAACCAAATCCTACTCCAAATTTGCCCAGCCTGCCTTATAGAGAAGGCGCAGAATAGGCTTTTTTGCATGTGTATTAGTACAAGTACTCAAAAATTTACTTTTTAAATTTAAAAAGGGCAGAGGTGAATAGAAAGAACACTTATGGAGAACTTTACATTGCAGCCTTCTGGCAGAGTAGCTAGAAGAGCAGGAGGAAAAACTCATAAGTACCAGCAGAAAGCCTTTACGAGGAGGCAGGTCCAGCTTGCTTTTTCTCAGGAGTAAAGGACAGACCATTTTCCTTCCAGTGGTCTTTACACTAACATGACTATATTCACAGCAGAAACACTTTGCTAGTGAGCTATAGCATGACTGCTGGTAATTCTTCTAGGAGAGCGGATGTGGCTTGAACACATTTCTATTTGAACAGAACAATTGTACACCAAATGTCAGTGTCAACCCCCCCCCGCTCTTTCCATGTTTCCTTAAGGCAGCCTCTAAGTTCCTTAAAATGAAATAGTAACTCAATGGCCTTATAGCAGTCAGCCAATTTTCTACTGTTGATGAATGGTTTCCAAGCCAGCTCTCATCCATACAGGAAGAACTATGTGAAATTTAAACACAGAGAAAGCATGTTCAGAGAGAGCACGAATCCTGTTTTAATAAGAGCAGTCCTTTCAAGAATACACAGACAATAGAAAGTGTTCCCAGACAGTACGATCTACACTTGAGGATGTGCAGAGTTCATAAATCACTACACAATAAAATCACAGATGAATCTGAATGATGGAAAGTGTGAAGTTATTCATGCAAAAAAAAAAATGCATACCTTAACTATACACATGTACAATGATAGGATCTATTCTAGTATTGCCACATAGAAGAATTTTTTATGGTTTTTGTGGATAGCTCCCTGTTGTTATCACATCAACCGTCAGCAACAGTTAAAAAGACAAATGGTATCATTAGCTGGTTGGAGAGAACACAGCAATGTAAATCATTGGGCACTTGCATCTTGAATTGTGCACGCTCTACAAAACATATGGAGAACAACAAGATGACTTCTAATCACTTGTGGCTCTCCCAGGTTTGTACTCTCCAGCTTAGAAAACAGAAGTTATCCATTCATGAACAGCTTACAAAATAATGAATGGTGTGAAGAACATTTCCTCACAAAATAAGAATTAAGAGGCACGTAATGAAATTACCAGACAGCAGGTTTAAAATAAACAAAAGGAAGTGCTTTTTCCACACAACGTGTAATGAAATTGCAAAACTTACTGCCATGGGATGTCATGGAGGCCAAGAGAATACATGGATTCAAACCAGGACTACATGAACTCATGGAGTGTAAGTTTGTAGGCAGCTATTAAACCTTAATGGTCCAGAAGCCTCCTCCAGCTCAGGAAAGCCCAAATTGGTGATCAAGAAGGATGTAACACTGGAGCAATTGTATCATATTTGAAGTATCACTCACCAGCAAATACCAGAAACAGTACTAGGCAAGACTAGAGGGGCATTTAACACAGTAGGGTAGTTTTTATGTTCTCTGGGAAAAAAACAAAACCAAAAACAAAACCCCAGAAAACAAAAGAAAAAAACAAAATACACAGATGTTCTCATATAGTCACAATGACTTAAGAGTAAGATGCTTCTTTGTGTGCAGTTGGAATAAGAAAAGCAAAAAAAACCTTGAAAGAAACAAAATGTGGGAAAACAGGAAACAGACGCCGACATAAACTGTATCCCAAGCCTTTCAGGTAACTTAACAGGAGTTATTGTTTAACGATGTTGGAGAAAGCAGGCAAAAGACTGAAGACTTAGGATTTTGAGGAAGGAAGGCTATGTCTGGAGAGAGGCTCATTCTGCTTCTTGTATCTTACTAAGCATTGTGGGGAGAGACAATAAAATTCAATAAGGCACAGCTCTGGTTGACTCATGTTAGTATATCCTCATTAGCTGCAGGAAACTGTAATCCTAGAGCTGCTTTTGTTATGGCCATTTTTTTCAGTCATGAGAAAGTTGCTAGGTAAATTAACACTCCTCCTCTCCTAACCTGGTACCGACAGACTGGCTTTAATTGGCAAGCAGGAAAAGAGCTAGAACAAAATGACAGCTACTCAGAGACATGATAAAAAGGGAGCCTCAGTTCTGCCACATGGGTATCTCATTATTAAGACTAACAGTTCATACCTGAATTAGATGAAAGAACATATGAAAAGAAATGTATAATAAAGGTATAATCTCTATGCGGGGGGATGACGGCACTGGGAAGCAGCAAATAAAGCCAGTAAAAATGAAATGCCTTTGCTCTAATCATCTGCAGAATTAATTTAACATACATGTACTAGGATAATGAAAAAAAGCCTAGGCAATCAAGATTATTCAAGAATTACAAGTCAACTCATCAGGCCCCAGAGGAAAAATGTCTGGTGGCTGCTAGAATCTTTTCTGCCCAACTGGTAGTTTCTGATCCTGAGCTGTCTCGAGCCCAGCTGGGGCAGGGTGAGCCATCCCTCCCAGCTAGCCTGGCTGGGCTGGGCTAGGGTTAGTGCTGGGTCATATGGGAAAACTCTCAATGCAGCTGCCTCACTATATTTTGCTTGTGGTTTATAAAATTAACAGGTTTCAAGGAACAAGACATTTCAGTTTTCAATGTGGTTCATGACCAAACCTTCATAAGAGTAAATAAGCTATGGAAAATTCCCAGAGGGTAAAAGAAAACCTCAAACCCAAACACACCATGAGCATGCCCTCTTGCCTTTAAATTACACGATTACAGAAGTTGAGAGGGAGGCAGGAGGAGAAGGTTTTGAAAAAAGAAAAGATTTTTCAGCAAAGACTAAGCAGCTCACATCTGACACTACAGGCATTACCTCTGCTCCAGGCTGCCAACTAAAAGCACAGCCCCTACACAATCATACTCAAAACCAGGCTTAACACAGGCGAGCAACATCAGGATGATCCAAGCCTGTGGGCGTTCCACACCCCTTCCTTGTAGTC